CACACACACACACACACACACACACACACACACACACACACACACACACACATACTTGTATGTTTCCTGTGATTTTCAAGCCTCGGGCTTTGTTCATTATGACACTCATTATTTCCTTACACAGACCACCGATATAACAATGACCACCGTAATCTTTGCAGATGCCTGGTTAGGCTCTTTCTGGATGAGCCCCCTTTATACTGACAAAACCTTCCTACAAAGGATGGTGCAGTCTCGCGTATAGACCTCCCGGGGCGATGCCACTGACTGTAGTGTCTTTAGGCCATTCCCAAAGGGGGGACATTTCTCGTTCAAGCACAGTAGAATTGTAAATGGGCTGATTCATCATGTCACTCTCATAACTGTGCCTGAATTACAACAGGGAACTGCTGCTTTTTCTTTCCTAATCCTTACTATTGTCATTTCCTCTACTTCTTTTGTATGTTTGTCACTCTCTTGTGAACTGCTAATTCCGGGGTGCCTTGATACTACTTGATAGTTGAAGCAGACTTTGTGCTGTTGAGGTTAGAGAGGTGAGCAGAGTAAGCCTTATTCCCCGTTTTGACTTCTCTGTTGACATCCACCCCTTGTCGTTCATATGACCTTATGCAGTTGCAGGCGCCGTAAAACTTTACAAAAACAAAATGCAAGTTTTGTTTTATCTGAACGAGACTCGTCTTTTATTCACGGAAAATTGTCACTCCGGGAAAATTCTCCCTTTCCCTGTTTAACCCCACCGGGCGCACCTGTATTTCTGTTTAGTCGCTTGGTCTCCCGAGGCGAACGTTTCTGTCAGCTCTTCCTTATAGATGTGTGTGTGTGGATGTTGTGTGTTATCTTGTGTAGATAAGTTTGTGTGTGGGGTGAGTGTGTGTGTGTGTGTGTGTGTGTGTGTGTGTGTGTGTGTGTGTGTGTGTGTTGTGTTATCTATGGTAGGCCGGCTGTGGACAGTTTACGTACATGTTGTTTTGTAGAATTGTGTAATTGTGGTACTGTAGATATGTCATATCTGTGTGTCACCTGTGTTCTGTGTATGTGTGTGTCTGTGTATGTGTGTGTGTGTTGTGTTATCTGTGGTGGGCCGGTTATGGACAGTTCATGTACATGTTGTTTGTAGACTTGTGGTACTGTAGATGTGTCATATCTCTGTGTCACCTGTGTGCTGTCTGTGTGTGTGTGTGTTTGTGTGTGTGTGTGTGTTATCTATGGTAGGCCGGCTGTGGACAGTCAGTTCACGAACATGTTGTGTAATT